TCAACCAATTAAAGCACAAAGAGTCAATATCACCTCCACTGACGCTCGAACCAACAACCTCCCACATAAGAGAGCAATTTGGTACCATTGGACCACACAAGGGTGTAAAATAAAATAAAATTATTTCAATGAGAATATATATAAGTAAAATTTCTGTATTAAGTGGTCGTATTTTCTCCATCCATGGTCAGATTCGTCCTTCGGTCTAGAGACCGGTAGTATGTTATCCAGAGATCATTCTTTTTGCTCAGATTTTTTCCATCTGCACTGAGTCTTTGCTCAAGATTTTGTGCCGATCTACTAATCGTTGGTTCTCCCCTTAAGGCCCTTGCTTGAGCTTTTAGTCTAGGGATCGCCTCATACCAATACCAAAGTCGGATATCAAACCGATCAATACCGGTGGTGGGATGATCGACTTGGCCGCTTTGTAGGCTTGTGTCGAGATTTAATCCCGGGCTTAATTGCGATCCAGAGATTAGACTTTACCAACCCAGAGATTGGATTTAATCACGATCTAGGGATCGATTTTATTGCGGCCCAGGGACCGGCTTCCATCGAGACAGGTTCAGGTTGCGCACCGATCTATAGATCTGGTTTTCCACGGTCTAGGGACCAGATTTCACCGACGTACGATCAGATTTTCTTCTGCCCTTATTGAAATTTTTCTTCGTGTACTCAGTGGGTCCTAAGTAGATATCCAGATCTAATTACATTAAAATAAAATTCAACAACAACTAATTTTGACATTAAAAAATACACTATATACAAGTTATTACATAAACTTAGGCGTTCGAGCTAGGCTTAATCAACGACTGGTTGGAAAATCAAAGAAGTCGGTGTCTCTCGTTCTCTACCTTCGACGCTGGTTCTCAACGTGAGGATTCTGGGACGCCGTCGGGCTGACCTATCATTGTGTTCCATGGCTTCCGGTGAGCTCTTGGCGGATCATTCATAGTGATTCCATGGCTGGAGACGTGGTCCTAGCCGATGTCGGACGAACAGTCGGGAATCATGGTTGAGGGGATTCCCTGCGCTCGAATCCGATTGGATTTGGATTGGTCGGCTAGCTTACTCCGATCCAGCGACTTACTTTGGGGTTTGTTGACTTGTAACGCCTGTTGGTGTCGATGGCAACGACATTCTTTGGAGGATCGGGATGACTGTGCATACGGGTTGTTGAAACATGGATTGACATGGAACAGAGCCCAAAGGATTTGGAGGTGGATACCCCCATCGTGGAGAGATGAAGTCCCATCCGGGGACTGAGTCGATCATAAAAGGATTTAACACTGGGGTCGAGGCATATTTGTAAATATCACCTGTGCTGACCATGTTGTAGCCAGCCGAATTTGGAGTGATTGGTCTGACTTGTTGGAATAAGAGACTACATTGATGGAGAATGAAGGAAGCAGAGAGAAACGGGAGGTGCGGGAAGATGAAGAAGAAAAGGTGTTATTATTGATGATGAGCTACTGGTTTATATAAGGGAAAAATAAAAGATAAAAGAAATAAAATGGAAGGGGAGGATATTACATTTTTATCCTCCAACACCCCCCGGTAAGCTGGAGCGTGTAGATCCTACATGCCCAGCTTAGATACAAAAGAGAAAAAAAAAAAAAAACAATATTTGGTGGGACTGCATTTTGAGTGAATCTTGTGAAATCATCAACCAAACTGACTGTAAACTTTAGCTTCCAATATGAAACCCATTCAACTTGGACATCCTCTTTAAAATCAGCCATATCTTCTTCCACTACCTTGGCCACATCTGATTCATCTATAGAATCTTTAGTGTTTCCTAACAAACTCTCCTTCTTATCTGCTTTTGACTTGGGCAAATATGTAACAACAGGATAGCATAGCCTCCACCGCTTGGAGACCTGTTCATGGAATCCAGCAGGGTCTGGCTCAACACATTCAAATGAGCTCTTATCTCCACCGCTTGGAGGGAGCATAGCAGCCTTTTTTTTTTCTTTAGATTGTTTGAAATTATCCTCCTTCCAGCCAGAAGCACCAGACGAAGCCATAACATTAGCAGAAGTATTCTTGGCTATCTCAACTAGTTGTTTCAATGACTCGTGAGAACCAGGTCTTGCAGCAAGCTTTCCCAATGCATCCACAAGATCTTGGAGCTCCAATAGAGCTTTTGAATCAATCTTCAGCAATGTTTGTATAAGAGAAATCGAAAACACAGTTGCAGACTTATTTCTTTCAGCATTAATAAGTTCCGCCATATGATTGTTATATTCTGCAAAGCTCAGTAGTTCACTCTGTATAAGACGAACAGTTATGTCTTTGTTGAACTTCTGCTCCTCATCAGAGTAAATCACCCAACTAGTCAGCTCCTTAACAACAACCTTGCTGATGTCTGCTCCATTCAACCCAATTTTGTGACCACAGTCATGTATTTCTACTCCTGGTAGAGTTTTGTATGTCTTTAGATCCCTTATTGGAACAATGAAAGCATGAACACCCATGTCGGAAACACCTTTTGAATCATGAGATGGTAGCAACAATCTTGCAAAAACTGTTGCAAATTTACCATGGACAGCAGCATTACCAATCCACCATTTAATGGCCCCATCATTAGGTGTGTCTGTAATAAATTCACCCTTAAGTGGATCAAAGGTGGCAACAGTTTGAAGGCCTTGAACATTGGAACCATGATGAAGCTCAGTCATTGCAAAGCAACCGGTGTATTCCAGGTTGTTTATGCCTTCAAAGTACTTGTCTTTGTGTTTCTTAGTCCCCAAATTGAGAACAGAGCCTCCCCAAAGACTGTACTGAACACCCAGCTTGATACCTAAAGACATATCAACGCTACCTGCAGCCTTCACAATAGCGAAATACTTAACAGGCTCGTCGTCCACGATCACCGCACCATTTTTAGTGTCCAACCCAGCATTCCTGGGATTCAGGCTCACTGATGCATTTTTACAAACAGTTGGTGTATCTAACAATTGTTCACTAATCTCAACACAATCAGCATGTCTAATCCCCTTAATAGCCTTACCAAAAGACGTAGATGCTAGATTAGAAGGATTACCAGATTTGAGACTCTCCACTGCAAACGAGACCCCCTTCTTCGCAGCCACTTCATGATAATCCACTGGAACCTTCGTAAGCTTCCTCAATGCCGTATCCTCTGCTCCAATTCCGGCGATACTCCTCTCCGTTTCTCTCCGAAATTTCGGATGGAAAGACACAACTGCTGTGGCTGAATCGGAGGATTGGACCGGAAACGACGGATAAGCTTCCTGGATCGCCTTCCGCTGCGGATCGGCTACGGTTATGGCTGAATCGGAGAACTGCTCCATCTGCTTCAACCGGTGTGAGCTACGAACTCCTTCCTCTGCGGCTGGGGAGGTTCTAGCAATCGGATTCTCCTTGTCTTCTAGATTCCTCTGCGGAATTGATCGACTACTCTGCGTAGCAATCGGATTGTTTGGCTTCCTCTGCGGAATTGGGGATTTAACAATCGACATCACCGGATGAGCCGTGCTTTGACTCAATTTTCCGGCGACGGTGACAGCGGCGGCGTGGCTGTCTCGCCGCTCTGATACCATGTTGGAATAAGAGACTACATTGATGGAGAATGAAGGAAGCAGAGAGAAACGGGAGGTGCGGGAAGATGAAGAAGAAAAGGTGTTATTATTGATGATGAGCTACTGGTTTATATAAGGGAAAAATAAAAGATAAAAGAAATAAAATGGAAGGGGAGGATATTACATTTTTATCCTCCAACACGACTTGAAGCGTCTGTGTCGAAACTTGTCGATGTGACAACTGAGAGCAAAGGTCGAACATTGCACGATTGGACTTTTCCACCTTGTCACAACTAGGTTGAGGATGCATGATTTGGGACCTAGGCCGAACTCGTGGCTAGTAGTACTGTTCCTCACAGACGACACCAATTGATGTGGTAAATTATCTCGGGTATATATACGTATTTGTATGCGGTGTTATGCAATGTGTATTTGGATATAGTAGCTCGGGTAGTTCAGACTAGAGTTGGGAGGTTCCAAAACATGTAAGTAATCTAGTGAGAAAATTAAGAAAAGTCTCTCCTACAGGCATTTGGCGTGGTATTTATAGGAGGTTGGAGGGGACACATGCCGAGAAGCCGCATGCACGCCACGTGTCCTCCATGCACTCAATGGTTTCGGAAGCTAAGGAGAAGCGTCCACATGTTACGGATTGGAATATCTAATTTAGCAAATAGCTATGGAGCTTGGTTAAGCGTTATTGTTAATATACATCTTTAAGGCCTTATCTCATGAGCTCGAGGCTAGAGCCGAGCAATTGGGTTGGGACGGAGCATGAAAGAGCAAGACCATTTGCTCGTCAAGCGGATAAGGGGCATAATATCCAGGTGAGGTCGGCCAGGACTCTCGGGTTGGATCAGGTCGGAAAAAAATTCTATCTACCTTCATAGTCTGATCCGATCAAGTGCCCAGTATATATGGATCGATATACTGGGATATATTCCCTATCAACCATAAAAGTAGAGGAAGTCAGGATTAATAGTGGCATTATATTTGTCGATATATGAGATCAACTGCTAAGATTCTCTGTGGAAGAACCACTACCCGAAGCTAGCTACCGAGGATTCAACATGATCATAAATCCCATAAAGATCAAGAATTGGTTCAAAAAGATGGAAACCATTGTTGAAAAGTATCATCTGAAAGAGCAACTAACAGTAACAATGTCTGATATGAACAGAGATTATATTAGATTATTGGGAGGCAAGATATGATCAGAAGAGGAAAAAGACGGTGGAGGGACACTACTGTTGAGTCAGCTGCATCAGAGATTGTAGGCGTACGTATCCATCAGTATATTAATCGTGAGAAAAGAAAGGCTCTTGATACCATGTTATAATAATGAAGAACAGTTACATATACTCTACTACAAATACACCATATAAATATAGTAGGGAAGGCTTGACTCGTGACTTTAATTTTTGTCTTTCGTTCTAAACTGCAATGGCAATCATATCAAAAGAGAAGATCGTCATAAATTAGCTCATCTAAAAGATCTTCCAGAATCAGTTCTTCCAGCTCAAGCCCAGCACACTCCGCATCAAACTGCAAGTTCATCCAATTATTCCCTTTCGACAAATCATGCCTAACAGCATCGTCAACCACCGACTTTTGATGGTCATGGAACCAGGTCAATAGCCAGTTTATGCTCGCCCACACCTCCTCAAGAACACGGTACCCGACCGGCATTCTCCGGACACAAGAATGGCAAGTGAGCGGCTGCGGCCAGTACGAGAATGATCGTTTGTACATCTCCAGCAAGACATGGTTGATTAAATCGAAGAGGAGAAGGTGGTCGCAGGTGCCGCCGGCTTCGTTGCCGGTGCAGTCGGGTTGTGATAGCAAGCAGCCTTCGACTTCGTCGAAAAGTGAAGGGTTTAATGGGAGCTGGGCGGCTTGCCAGCTCTCCAGGAGCTCGATCCCGCTGAACCCAGAGAGCTCCAGCACGTCTTTTACGTAGTCGAATTGCGCCTTGTTTTTGTTGTCCACGTGAAGGTCCATTAAGATGTTTAGTCCTTCTTTCTCTATTACCTCAACTGAACTCTCCGCTGCGGCTACGCCACAAGCTTCTGCTTTCATCTCCGAAGAATCATCTATCAAACACGAAAAAATTAATTTATGTAGGAATTTATATTTCCTAAATTCCTCCCCATTCTATAAAATATTATACTCTGCCATAAATACCAATTACCATAAACATATTACATTACCAAATGTAGTGTTATTCTTCTACTATAAAAGACCCTAGTCAGATACAAGAAAGAGGAGTTCAATCAATCATCTTCATCCTTCTACATCTATATCTCTCTAGAGAACACAAATTATACATGCACAAGGTACATATAAGAAATACTGGATTTTGGCTTAGCACCACCCAAAAAGGCCTGTGAATTTCACCATTTAATTTCTACATTAAAAATATTGTGTCTCCTTGATTTTTCCTTTTCAATTCTTTATTTTTCTACGCTTTCATATTTCACTTCTCATCTAATCGGTCATGTTGGCCCGCCGACTGACTACCACCAGTAATCGTGAAACCAACACAATGTATACTATTGATAAATGTTTACTTCATTTTTTATATTCTGAAAGTTTATTTACCTACATATGAACTTTCATTATGCAAAAAAATTGCAAAGTTGCACTGTCCAAAATTCATCACAAAAATATTTTTACATCTATAATGATAATAAAATTCTTTGGGAAAATTATAATTTATGTCCATCTATAATATATCAATTATCAATGTTACCCTTCGTACGAGAAGGGTAATATATGTACCGTTTTGAAAATTGAGGGGCAACATTTACATCACTAATAATTTAAGAGTGACATTGATAATGAGCATACTATGGAGGGACATAAATTGTAATTTTTCCTAAAATTCTTTTTATTCATTGGCCAATCCTACCCTCCAAAATTTACTTATATTTCTCCTAAAAGGTTAAATTCTCAACCCAACGGCTCCTCATACCCTAACCTAACCGCCTACTGAACCAGTGAGCTAAGCCCATGCGGATAAAAATTTACTTATATCGTGACATCAAATGGTAGCTAGACAAATTTTGACGTAGCTTGTGTCATGATCCTCCATATACTCCTCCTACCAACAATTATTAGAATTGTATAAATGCATTATTCTAGCTTAAGAAATAAATGAGGAGGCTGCCTGCATGGATAGTCCTCATCTCAGGAGCAATAAGACACCCAAAAACGTAACAAAAATTAAGATACAATACATTACTGTCAAATTAATTAATTACCTTCTGGTGCAGAAACCTTTTCAGTGCAAGATGAGTCCAGCATTTCAGGCACAGAAATAGTGGGCTCATCAAAAGTATCCCCAACATCTTGGAACCCATCTTGAAGGCCTGGGATTTGATCATCTGAATTGGGATCTGATAGAGTTTGATATTCTGAAGCTGTAGGGGTGTAAATCACCTTGCGCTCACCATCTCTACTACTGTCTGCAATATTCCCAGTAACTGTTCTGAAAGAAGAAGTATCATTATCCTCACTGTTTCTTAAAGAAGAGCCGCCCCTTAGATCAGCCTGCATTGACATAAACCTCTCCAGTGTTTTGCTAGAGCTAGGACTATCAGGCGTGGGTGTTCCTGGCGGTTCTTGAAACTCCGGTTGTTCCGAGGAGATCCGAGGAGTTTGTGTTTCTCTCTGGAAACATGATTCCAGCAGCTGATTATACTTCTCCGGTGATTCTTGGAAAGACCGTGCTCTTTTCATGCTTTCTTGCATATTATTGTTATTGTTATTGTTATTCTCGGTGGTTTTTCCGAATTGGGAATTTATGAATTGAGGTGATGATGAAGAAGAAGCTGGATCCTTGGGTATCTCACGACCGCGAGGGATTTTGTCAAGAACGCCATCCATAACAATTCTCTGTTTCTCCTTTTTGCTCTCTTTAACTGCAAACCTTAATTTCTCCCTTAGGTTCTTGAAATTCCACAAACCATATCGGCTCTTCTGCTCAGTAGGAGGGGAATGTTTTGCGACGTTATCCAAAAGCTCAGGATTCGTGCACATTTTTTTCTTCGCCGAGAACACATTCTCTTGATCTTGAAGCGGCGGCGGCTTTTCATGTGCCACACATTTGGCGGCGGCCCGCCCTCTCCTCAGCGCCCCCGGGGCGGGGAACGTCATGGATTTATCCAATCTTTTGGGCAGTTTAGAGGAGGAGGGCTGCTTCTGCCGGCTATCATTCAAGATCTTCAGGAGAACCTCCTTTCTGACGTTGAGCAAGTCCAGGGCTTTCAAGAACAGCTTGGATTCTTGGAGGGACGCCGGCTTGGGTGGCTCTAATGGGGCGTAGATATCATCGGTTTGAGCCATCTGGGGATTGTTATTCTTGTTTAGCTTTAGCATGGCGGCGCAGATGGCGCAGGTGGTGGTGTGTTTGGGAGGGGCGGCATGGCCCTCCTCCCAGATGGTTGGGAGTGGAGGGTCGAGCAAGCTGGCGAGAGAAGCGGTGTGGGCGGTGTTGTGATGAGTGGAAGGTTGCGGCGCCGGGACTACGGCGGCGATGGGAGCGATTTGGTCGGTGTTTGGGCAGGAGGAGCTTCGACGGTGTCGCCCTTTTCCCCTTCTTTTGGATCCATCGTCGCTGAATAACAAGGCTTTTAGTCGAGACTTCATCGACTTAGATGAACAACCGGAGTCTGCAGGCTTTGCTTCAACCTGAAAATTAGGTAATACAAACAAATTATGAAATGTATGCTTGTAATTAAGGGTAAGGTAGTCTAAGGAAGGTCTATAAATGTCTTCATCAATTAGTGGCTTAATTAGTAGCTAGGAGGATTGTTGGGGCAGGTTTGATGAATGACCAAATTAGTGGCTTAATTAGTAGCTAGGAGGATTGTTGAGGCAGGTTTGATGAATGACCAAGTCTAGTATCCTGTAGCTGGAAGATGTGATGACAGTCTATAAGGAAATAAGTTACTGTTTCGCTACTAGCTATAATAGTAAGCTTTTAATCATAACAAGCTGTATCAAAGCTAAAATTGACATATTAGTGGTTTGCTAGGGAGTTTGTTAGGCAGAGGCAGGTGAAGGGCCAAGAGACGAATTTACAATAGGGACAATTACCTCCACTATCCCATCTCACCCTTATCTAAAAATGAGTTAGCTTATATGGTTAAGTATGTATAGTATATAATCCGTATAGGTTTAAGGTCAAATCTATCTCATTTGTTTTAATCTTTCTCCCCGCCCTGCCTAGAAATATATGCTCTACCCACTTACAGCAGGGGTGTTTTCCGGTTTAGGGTCTGCCTTTTCTTGGATTTCAGCCGCGACGGGGCTAGGGGCTGTGGCTTTATTGTCTGGATCTTCAGCCACTGTAGAAATTAAAAGAGAAGATTCATATATCATAGTTGGCAGATCAGATATGATAATGAATAAATATATAAATATATATATATGTTTCTCACCAGGGGCAGGTTTTGAAGAAGCAGTTGATCCCCTCTTGTGAGGGAGGCGTTTCTTGACAGTATTCCATCTATAGTGGTTAAGGTGGTGAAATATGCCCCACAAGCATTTTGGATTATGATTATGATTATGTAAAATCATAGATTCTTGTTTCTGCTGCACATTCTTCCCCATCTTCGATCTACTCTTTAGCTGTCATGAAATGGAACCAAAAAGTAAGCATATATCCCATTTCCAGGAACCCAAATTACCCAAAACAATATAATGTATCAACGGAAAACAGAAAATATATAGATTACCTTAAACTAATAATTTTGAATCATGAATATATAGATTCTCTGGATCTCTTTTGTCTGCCCAGGAATCAACTAGCGGAAAGAAAAAGAAACATTCTTGAAGATGAATATTAATTATGTAAGAAAAAGAAGAGTGGATGGATTGCTGTGCTGCGAGAGAGAGAGAGAGAAAGAGAGAGAATGTGGTTGTGATGAAAGAGGCGGGACAAGTGGACAACCTAAGAAAACACAGTTTTTCTTGGGAACTTAGTTGCATGTATGGTTCTCACTGTAACTCAACTTTTGGCGCCATTTTTCCGCCAACTGCTCTCCGTCTCTGCCTTTAAATCTGTTTCTTTTTCGTTGGGCTGAACAAAATTGTGAATGACTTTGGGCCACAACTCCATATTTATCTTGTCAATTGTTATAATTGGCAAATTATTATGTGGATCAAGGTCCATCTTACAAGGTGGATCCAGATACAAAGGTACAAAATTTACATACTAAATGTTCACAATTTATTTTTTTAAAAATCATAATTTGTGATGATCTTGTATTGTATTAACAAATTTTCAAAACTTAAAAACATAATTTATATTCTAGATGTTCAGAATTTCAATACTAAAAATAAACAATTTAAGATCAAGGTGGACCCTGGTCCATGGTATAACAATTGTTATACATTGGACCAGGATCCATCTTGCATTGTGGATCTTGGTCCAAAACACAATTAACATATTATATATCTTCATTTAATAATATATATATATATATATATATATATATATATATATATATATATATATATATATATATATATATATATATATATATATATATTATGTATTTTCAGTTTCTTTACAAGTACATAATCCATTAACGGAAGGTACATCATATTATGTTAACAATAGGTACATAATCTGAATATCTTTTTTAGACCGTGATCCACTGATCCACAATACAATGTGGATCCTAGTCCGTGGTATAATTTGCATTATTTTGTAGTTCACATAAGCTTTTCTTATACAGTTAATAAACTTTTTTCTTTTTTCTTTTAAATTTCTTTTTAACCAAAACAGAGGAAATATTATCTAGTAAAATTAGGATAATGATTAAAGGTCTGGATTGCATCCCTGGTGTGCATATGAAAACTAGGATTTGACTGGTAAGCTGACTGTGCGACTCGCAATTTATTTTCGCAATGAATCTAAGGGAAGGATCTTGTATGCTTAGAATTAGTCCAGTGAAATTGAAATCACCTAAGTTTATAATAATAATAATAATAATAATATAAACACGTCTTCTAATTTTTTTTTTTTTTAACTTTTACTTAGTATTAAATATCCAATGGATGGTTGTTTTGAATTCCTGTTAGTCGTTGAAATCTATGTTGCACTGATTCAGAAGTACATGGCAAATCTATCTCAAGTGTCTTAGAATCTATTTCAACACTATTGAGTCAGTGTTCAATTCCTTATCCTTATCATAATCATCCGTTGTACGTCTAACTTATGTTGCAAAAGTCTGTGATTCTGATGATGCAAGTTGTATCTATTCTTCATATTCAACTCGTTAATCATATGCATTTGTTGGGTTGAGCTTCCCTCCTATGTGATAAATAGCTCATGTTTGGACCAAGCCAACTTTTATCCACTATATTTTTAAGCCTAATTATTATTATTATTATTATTATTATTATTATGTTATATAATAATAATATTAGGGAATGTAAGAGGTTGGAGAAGCAAACGTTTTTGACATTTGAAGGGGTGAAGAATTAATTCTCTATTTATTCTTCATTACTCACATGTTCATCTAGTGATGAAGCTATAAAATGGGAGCAATCTACACATATAGATTGAGAGTGAGAAAAAAGACAAAAACACAAAAAAGAGTGGGCAGCAATAGTTCGGCGACAGCAAGTCCACCAAGGAAGAAATCAATTTCATTTTGGTGCACGTTTGCTTTGTTTTGCCGTGAGTTTGTCTAAGCTATTGGGTACAGTCTTCATCAAATGTTTTGAAGGTCAATTTGTATTTATTCCAGGCATCTTTTGGGTAATCTCGTACTACTTATATTCATTTTATCTTGTTTGTGGTAGTTGAGTATTTTGAGTACGTACGAGATATTATTCCTATTTAGCCTGTGAATTTAAAGGATGTATTTGGCCTAGAATTGGTGTATTTGATGATTTGTGGATGTATGGCTCGTGTATAGCCTGAACTTGTGTACCCGAGATTTGTTATAGTAGAATTGTTGGTGGTGGTGGTCCTGTGATTTTTCCCTGTGGTGGTTTGGGGTTTTCACGTAAATCTTGTGTTCATTGCTTTGTTATTTATTTTTGGATATTGTGTATCATCTTGTGTTTGTGCTCCTGTCGGTTCTGTGATTTTTCATTGTCACAGGAAGTGGAAATTTTCCCAACAGCATTAATTCCATGTAATGATTTGTGGGCATGTACCTTTCTCTCACCTATTTTCCATCCTAACACACTCTACATACTCCAGTATTTTAAAGCTTTGGCACACCATGAACTGTTTCAGTTCTAATCAACTTATCTAAGTCTCTATAAGTCAAGTGACCCAATTTCTGGTGCCACAATTCTGTCTCATCCAGCTTGCATTGATTACTTACTTGGGCTTGGGGTGCTTAATTGATGTGTGGTGAAACATTAACCTTTGGGGTTGTTAATTGGGAAAGAAAAGAGTGTATCCCGAGATTCTTTCTATTGAAATTTTGAGCTAAGAACCTTGTCAACATCTACTCTAATTCATAGCCAAGGTAAGGACAAAGATAATATTCTTTTGAGCCTTTATGCATAACTGGTTCATTTGAGTATTGGGTAGTTGTGAGAACAATTAGTTTGGCTTGTATACTTGTGCGTGTTTTTCTTTTTTTTTTCTTTTTTTTTTTTTTTGTTAATCCTACATTAATCTGGTTGAGGACAAGCATGCTCTAAAGTGTGAAAATATTTGATAAGCGTTTAATTGTTCTGTTAGTGTTTTTAAATTGTTCAAAAAATCCTATATTATAATTGGCAATATTATTATGGCACATACTAAGATAGGTTTAGAGTTTGTCCGACCAGCTCTACAGTCGACTGATCAATCAGAAGCAACAACAGAAGGACTGACACTGAAGATCTGATTTAGGAAGCTGATTTCTAAAACTATTACGCGGTATTATCAGACAAGTTTGGAAAGAAGATCAGCGTATATTTTCAAGAAAGGTATGGACCTAATCTTCTGAGATTACATTCCTCTTTTATAGTCCTACCTTCTACAATCAAAGTCTTTTATGGAGAGAGTTTATTGAAGAATCTATAAGTACCCTCACTCGAAGAGATTTAGGGTTACGCCGAAAGTAAGAAGAAACACTCCCTATCTGCTATATGAGACTAGATCTTTGATTGTCATGTATCTTCTCAATACAATATGTTCATGGTGATTAAGATGATGAACTTGAGAAGAATCACTGCTGCTTAATCGAAAGGACACTGTGATCACACTGTTGTCGGAACAACATTAAAGCGCGTCATTGAAGTGGACTGCATCAGAGTGGGCTCTCCAAGTGAAGGGATTTCATTGGACTTCTGTATGCATGGCTCTCCATCTTCAACAATCCACTAAACCTGTGTAGACTGGGTATGTACCTTGTGTGGGGCACTTGGGTAAGATTATTGTATATCTACCTTTGTACATTGGATTATAATTTAGTGGATTGGACGCCTATGTGATCGTCCCCCGGACGTAGATACACACTGTATCGAACTGGGTAAATATTCTGTGTCGTTGAGTTTGTGCTGTTATCTTTCTCTTACATCCTCTACATGATTGATTATTACTGACTATCTTCGTAACTGAATCAATCAGTAATCTCGGACAGTTGACTAATTTTGTTAATTTATCAAAAAAGAGAAAATGCAAAATTACATGTGGTATCAGAGCTTTTAAGCCTACATAGTGACTTGATCCGACGGGTTGCTTTTAGTTTTGCTTTCTCTTTGTCTTTCGCAAGTTTGTCTGTGTGTTCGTTGGCTGGTTGTTTGTATTCAGGATGGATGCAAGTATGAAAGCACCAGAACTAGATGGTCATAACTACTCCTTCTGGAAGGCTCGCATGGAGATATATCTTCAAGCACAAGGTACCATGGTTTATCGTACGGTCCTAACTGGGTGGAGTCGTCCCACTACTCAGAATGCACAAGGAGTTACTGAAGATAAGCCCATGGAGACTTGGTGATATGCACATTTTACACTCATATTTTAGGTACATTTTTATAATAATTTTGCATTGGTTATTTAATATTATCTAATAATTAGTTCTTTTTATATATAATATATAATATAATATATAATAATTAATATATTATATATATTATATATTATATATATTTAGTATACAGTACGTAACATATATATATATATATATATATATATATATATATATATATATATATATATATATTAGAAATCAACAAATAAATTAAATAAATATAATATTTTAATTTGTTTGCTTTCCTAACAAAACGTATGGTGCAGCAGCAAAAATAAAGTCAATGGGAACTATTCCAAGGCATTATTACAAGGAGTTTCAACATATGGCACAAAAGTAGGAAACAAGTGGTAGGAAATAGTTTAGGTTTATTTTTAGAATGCTATAAATAGTAGAAGTTTCTTATTGTAAAATGTTCATTCTTCCCCTCTCGAATATTCTTTAAGGTTGTTATCAATGTCCATTCGCGGCTAATTTCTAGTTTGGTTTAGTGAATTGAAGCCCCGGAGTTCATTACGCTGTAAGGTTATTTATTTATTTTTATTATATATATATTTTATGCATTTGAGTATTAAATATTCTTCTAAATTATTTGAATAGTTGTATCATTTAATTGCTAGGGAG